GCTCTTCTGCACGTATATTCAATCACTATTTTTCAAGCTACCATCTCATTAGGGTAGATTTCATCTTTTTTTATTTAAATATTGCTGTACTGTAATTAAGAAGTTTATTAACAGTTTTAAGGCGTCGATATTTCATATAAATGTTACAAGTGTAACACTTCTGTTTAATGTTGTTGAATTTTTCTTCAGTTTTTTTCTTTCTTCTTTCACTTTTATCACAGTTTTAGAAAATACAAGTGGTCATTGGTTTGACTGACTGATTGTTTGTCTGAATTTCGTTTAATTTTGCTCATTTTTTTTTTCAAAGGTTTATTCTGTTAAAAGGTTGCTATAACAACTTCAGTGGCGATTGCGTAATGAAATATATTGCTCAAGTGGTATAATATATAAAATTTGTTGAATATGGTCATATGCTATTTGTAAATATAAATGCCACATTACTATGTATCGTCATCATTTTCTCTACATAAACTCATATTTCTATGAGGTCGATATATGTATATACACTTTGTTTTGTCGGATAAGTGTTTACAATTAGTCAGCGGTTCTAAAAAAGTACTTTTTAGTCTACTTCTTTTTTTTTCTCTTTTTGAAATATTTAGTCGATGATAGTCAATGAATAATATAAAGTCTGGAAGAGTTTGAGCAATTATTGTTGTTACTTGTTATTATCATCGTCATCGTCATCTTTACTACTAAAATCATTGTCGTCATCATTGTCGTCTGTTGCTTTACTAGTTTGCAAAAATAGTTTTAGATGGGCATTTGTTAAATTGTTTGATGTCTTCAAATATCAAATGGGTCATTAAAAAAGTTTTTCGTCTGCTTTTTCTTTTCCTTTTTCGGCGTCTTTATGAATGCTACCACTATCAATGGAAATAGCAAAAATTCGAAACAATTTGAAAGCAAAAATGAAAAAAAATAAAAAACATGGAAAGCATCACAGGAAGCCAAAGTTGAAGGAGAAAGAGAAGAAGGAGAAGAAGAGGGGAAGGGAGAAGAAGTAGAAGACGACGACGACGACGGTGGCAAAAATGTTACACCATTAGATCAATAGGACTATTTATTGTTTTGTCAACTTGTTTTCAAGGGAAAATTGGAATAATGAGATATCTTCGGGGACGGGGTTGGATTTTAGTATTCTGAAGTCTTCTCGTTTTTTTGCTATAGTTTTTGATGAAGGGTAAGGGGAGGGAGGGAAAGCTTTTGGTTGCTTTTTTTATCTCGTTTTTTACTAATTCGTATTTTTCTGAGAACTACTCGTCCAACGAAATAAGCAAAGAGAAGCTTTTTGATTTATACCTCTTCGCCTTCAAAATGCCATTTTTTTTCTCGTCCCTGTTTTCTTTCAAGCGTTTATTGTTTTTGCTTGGTTGCTGGATTTTATCCTTTTTTTGCGCTACAAACATATTTACTAGTTTTCTTCCCGATGCAACAATATTTTTCGGCTGTAAACAGCAAATATATTCATAGGCACCGCTTTATTTGTCAAGCATCAGAAGTATTGGTGACGTTACTGAGGTCGTATGATTAAAAGTTACTCGGAATCGTATCAGATGCTTATTTTGTTTTACTGAAAAACTTTTACTGCAAGTAGCATAGGAGCTATCGCTGGCAACGATTGTTGTTCATATTCAGATGCATTTGTTTCACGGAGGGAGGGGAATTAGGGAGGAGGGCGGAGTTCAAAAATTTGGTGGATACCAGTGAGCTTTCGAACTTTCAAACACTGAAGTTTTATAAATTATGTTTTAACGAAGTTAGTGTCTTAATTAGTGTTACATCGTTTCTCCACGACTTTGTTTTTAGGGTCAAATAACGAAGAAATGGCTGAGTTATTGAAGTATAAGGATTTTGTTCATCCACCATCGATTGACGAGCTTCGCAAACAAACAGAAGAGGCATTTAGTCATAAATACATTAAATACATGTATGCTAGATTTAAAAATGTAAGTTTTTTTTGCAATTTTTACCTCTCTACAGCTGCGTGAATTTCTTACTGTTTTGTCGTATTTGGCTATTGAACAGTTTATAAAATTAATCAGAAAGAATTGTTACATTGTTCGAAAGTTTCAGTTCGTTGGATAAAATAGCGGAAAATATCATTCTCGAATACTAATATTATGCAAATTGATTCTTTTCTTATTTTTTCTAAAACAAAGGCTAATGGAATTTTTTGGTATAATTTGCAATTATTGTTTGTTATTTCGTTATTTTTTTTTATCTAACTTTATCATATGATGCAAAGATTGAGGAGCTTTCTTTGATATGTCTTCTTCTATGTTATCACATCAATGAATTTATTCAATGTTTATTAACAACAGTTGCTTGTCAAGCAGAATAATTCATTTTTTATTCTTATCAAAGAAAAGATACGTCAACAAAATGTACAATTTTTATCAAATTTTGTCGCTGAAGAAAAGCAAGACTTTGTCTTTTGCACCGAGTTTGTTAATAATAGATGTTGTGCTGATTTTGATACACTTTACCAAATGTTCTTTCTGTTAGAAACAGAGATGTTTGTTACAGATAAGTTGGATATACAGTGCAAGAAAATTTTATATTTTTTATTTTTTTTTTTACAAATAAGTTAGATAGCTATCGAGACCAAAAGTTGTAATTTATAAATTTCTAAGGGGCACGATGTACAGTGATAGACAAAGTAATGAATTTTATTATTATTTCGACACTCTATTTTTATACCGTTTTGTCTATCAAAGATCAGTAGAAGGTAATTGTTTTTGCAAAAAAACAGGGAGGAAAAAAAGTTTCTAAGTTGTTGTGTTTTTGTAACTTTATCGCGACTAACATCTCACTTATTGAAAAAATGTTCAAAATAAGTTGTGAAAATAGAAATTGAAGGATTATTGGAGATTGGAGTTAGGAGCCAATTTTTTTTTCTGGCAACTTTAAAATCGTAAAGACATTAAAGAGTTCTCCAGAAAATTTTATGTAATAATGGGTAAGAAAGTTTTAAAAAAAAGTGTGCTGTAGATGGAAAGAGTACTGAAAAATAAAAAAGAACAAGTTGGGAATTGTAACTTGTCGTAAGGATGGAATAAATTCACTGAAGAAATAGAGGTTGATTTTGCTGACAACTTTATCTTTTTTTACTTTGGCAGTGTCTTTTTTTATTATTAGTTTGTTACATTATATACAGCAACTCAAAGTGTTGAAAAAGAAAAAAATTTGAGAATGTAATCGAGTTAGGACAATCTTGGGAGAACGATAGTGATGAAAATTTTTTTGAAGTGAAATTGATAACACTGATGAGTGATTATCAGTTTACACCGGACTGTTCGTATGATATTTTTTGATGGATGGCATCTAGCCGATTGATTAAATTTAAACAGTATAAAGACTGGATTAAAAAAAACTCTGTTATATTAATATGTGACATTTTGACTGAACTAATAAGTGTGAAAATTTTGTTTTCTTCTTGTTATGTTGTTTTTTTTTCTTCTGCATTTTTTATCTTTTCTGCTATGCTTATTTACACAAAACTTTGTTCTTTCACTTTTCGTAAATAATGTCGTATGACGACGGTATTTAAAAAGATTTAGCTGATGAAAAGGATCTAAAGTTATATAAGCATTTTTCCGCATAAATGTGTTTGGGAAAAAAAAAA